ACTGTCAATCTAGTGAGCAGATTCTACTGATCTTGCCCGTATCTTCTGACAGGTCCTGCTAACATACATCATAGTTGAAGATTTGATGAGTGCAACTAAAATTGTTTGAAAAAGAAAATACACAACCATACACAATTAGCCCTGCCCATTGCCACAGAAGTCAGGGCTTCACAATCAACAGGTCTTAAATTGTGTTATTGGAGCTGAAAAGAATTAAACATGGTGCTAAAAATAGAAATTAGACCAGTGAAATATGTAGTTCCCACAACAGACGACGGAAAAGAGAAAACTAAGCCTGAGGTTTTCAGTGGGCCAAGTGTCTTAGATTAAATATCAGATTAGCTGACTTCATAGACAAATCCCCAACATCTCCTCTTACTTTTCTAGCTACAACCACGTATGAACTTAGTGACCTTGAATCTTGTAAGTTGGTGTTCACTAGTCTTTCTAACGCCTTAAAACCACCAGAATCCTCACAGTGTTGTTCATCAGATGTTGAAAATGTGTTTTGATTACAAGAGAAATACACTTTTATTGCTACCTGTCAGTGCTCCTGCAAGGAACTTTTTCAACAGCCTCACAGAGGTTAGCCATTGGTCCAGTTCCAATATTATCAAAATTAATGTTTGGGTAAGAAAACGGCGTGACCCTTTGAATGCATTTGGCCTTTGGAAATGAAACACACTGAGGCATGTGGGGAGCTCCACAGCCGCACGTGAGACAGAGGCACAGAGAACTCAAGTGAAACCTAGCCACACAGTGAGTTTGAGGCTCCGCCTCTATGCGCAAACCTGAAGATAAGAATAATAATAGTGATTTTAAAATGATAGACTTCATAAATGGGGTACGATTGAGAGAAAGCTGTCAAGTCCATTTAATGGCATGATCTTTAGCAAATCAATGCTTCAGGTGTGAGGAAAGAATAGAAGAAAACCAAAAGTCTACATATTAAGGATTCATAAGATTACTTATGAATTTATGTAGTCCTGAGACTCCTGAAGGGTGAACTACATTAAGCATTGTAAAACTTCCTTTAGTTTGCAGAGCACAGATCTGGCCTTGTAACTGAGGAATTTGTGGTTAGTCTTTCACATATTTACTTCTGGACTCGTTTTCCTAGCGTTATCATAATGTTTGTGACTACGAGACTATCTCTTGCCTACAGCATCCTCTCTTCTTCGGGAGACTCCTTTCCGTTCAGCTGCCCCCCACCTCCTCTCCATCTGTTTACCCTAAGGCAGGTTTGTGAGAGGGTCAGTTTCATGCTAGGAAGACTTTCCTTCTTGAAAATAAATATCCATTCCTTATGCAAGGTTTGCTATTTTATCTGTAATTCATTTCTCAACTTCCAGGGATTTGGTCTCCTAAATTGGTCCCAAGCTCTCATACAATTGTTGGAAGTTTGCAATTTTGTGTGTGTGTGTGTGTGTGTGTGTGTGTGTGTGTGTGTGTGTGTGTGTGTGTGTTTAAGGACTAGTAAGTTGCAGCTTATTGCCTGGGGAGAAACGGGGTATCTTATAATTACAGAACATTGCAGTTGTAGCATACAGTGGCCACTGACAAGATGGGCAGGGATGCTGTGGATGCTCTCCAGCACAGCTTTATTTCCGAAACAGCTAGTGGGTGGGGTGTGATTTGGTCCACAGGCATTAGTTTGCAGACTCCTGCTAACAGCAATGCTTTCTTCCTCTCCCTGACTTGCCCCCTGATAGATTTTTAGAGAGGACATCCTGTCCAGCTCTCGTCTTGCTGGAGCCCCAGTTGCTCCGGTGCTTCTTCCCTTCTTCTGCTTGTTGTAGACCGGCAGTGCCTTGTGCCCAGCACCCAGCAAATAAGAAAACATGCCGTGAGTGGGCAAAATCAAATCCTGTGAGACATTTAATAACCAAAGCTCCAAACCCTGCTGAAAGTCCCTGCTGACCACTCACCATGTGCCCCACGGCTTTGTAAGTGGTTCATACGGTTTTGTCACTTAACTGTCCTCTATCCTTCAAAATTAGGAATTATTTAACTTCCATTTATAGGAAAATCTTTTTTTTTAAAGTTACAGCTAGAAAAGTATTCAGAAGTATGATGAGAATCCCCACCGCATCCACCCCTTATCCCTGAAACTGTGGTGGCATTACAATCCAATTATTTGGAGCATTTTTATCATGATCTTTATGCCACAATGATTCTGCTTAGAAAAAGCCCAGCGCATCAATATGGTGACCTCCCGGGAGCGGGGGACCACCAGGTTGCCTAAGGAGGGGTGAACCGGCCCAGGTCGGAAACGGAGCAGGTCAAAACTCCCATGCTGATCAGTAGTGGGATCGCGCCTGTGAATAGCCACTGCACTCCAGCCTGGGCAACATAGCGAGACCCCGTCTCTAAAAAAAAAAAAAGCCCAGGGATCTCTATGAATTAAAAAAAAAAAGACTGTACGATGGTTTCCTCTAGATGAACATGGTAACTTTCCAATCAGACACATTCACTAAGGCCATTTTCATCCGATTTCTAGAGTGGTTTCCATGTAGATACACGGAGAAATTAATCATGACTTTTCACTTGCCATGGGAAAATAAGAACTCTGGAATTTTGTGCACATTGCATAAAGCTTCCTAGTTAGGATATTTTCTTACACTGATGCTCAACCAAGGGAAAGCAGAAAGAGGACCTTGGTGAGGGCTAGCTCTATCGCTGAGTTTTTGAGGCCTTACCTACAGCCCATCTCAGCGCACCCTCACTGATGTGATCGCACAGGGTGAGGCTAGATAGATGGGAGCTAAAGCGCCATATCTTAGGTCCTCCACAGAAGACCTGAGAAAAGGAGGGCTTGAGTCACAGCCCTATATCAGTTGGTCAGACACGCAGCCCAGCTGTGCTTCTGTGAACTGGAGGCTGGTGGTCTCATTGAGGGACACACAGACACAGGGAGCCGAAGTGTCGTTTTAATTGTTAGGCAAATGATGAGTCTCCAAAGAGCAATACTACTGTCATTTGATTAAATGCCCTTATGGGTATAAAACAGGGATTTATCTGGAAGAAAGAGGAAGGCACAGGACAAAGCATATTGTGCCCTTCTTAGCATCGACTAGATTTGGTTATCAGGTCTAATAAAGCAGTGCTGGGCTCTCTTCTAAATATAAAAGTGGAGTCTTATTTCTTTATTAATAATATCATAATTACTCTTTGGTATGTTCAAATTCATTATGTTTGATGGAAGTCTTTCACAGTCAAGGACATCTCCTTGTCGTGAGCAATTTTAATTTTCTCAGCACATAAAAGCCCAGCAAGAAATGGGCCTTAATCCCTCATGAGTCTCACTGTACTCCTTGGGGAGGTGTCTGGGCTCTCACTACATAATATTTACTCATTATACCTCTTCTCATCAATAGCAATTGACTTTGATGTTGTTGTTGTAGTAAAGTCAAATCTTTGACTAGATTTATGTTAGTTAAATCTATATGTTTTGTGCTTTCCTTTCATTTCGCTTTAAAATTCAGGTTTCTGAGTAACAAAGCAGAGATTGTTCTCAGTGGCCGTGCTCAGCACATTGTAGAGGACATACAATTAATAAAATTTGCACACGCCATTTTAAAAGGCCATCAGTCTTACTCTCCCTGGCGAGTGCCAGAAAGAATGCATTTGACCAGTGCACACACCAGTTAGATTGTTTGAATAATTTATTTTTTGAAAATTATTTCAATATCACATATGATTTATTATTGTAAAATTAGTCACCTGTAGTTTACAATTCACCAGGATGGACTTTTGGAGGGTGGAGAAGAGGGTGAATTTCTATGCTATTTTAGTACCATTGATATTATCAAATGATGTCAGATTTAATTAGTAAAAGGGAGATTTTACAAACATTGACCTTGGTTCAGGGGGACTGGGAGAAAAAAAAAACAAATCTGAAGATAAGGAGATAACAGTTGATGGATGGAACATTATTCTTTTTGAGGAAACTAAAAAACAATAAAACACTAAAAAATGAATGTGTGACCTAAAGAACAAAATTAAGTTAAACACTGTCATACTAGCTGAAAAATAAAATCCCGACTAGGTGAAGGCAGCAGAACATTCTCGTTTTGAAAAGTAAATGAGGGTTGTTAGACACACCTCAATAAAAAAAATGGCTTTGTTATTTCAAGAAAAAGAAGAAGGTAGTTGAAAGGAGAGGCAATGTGGGTATACAAGCAAGGATCTGAACTGATGGTGGCATTGGATAGGAGATCAAATGTAAGCAAGGGCATAAACCAGCTTAATTATACATTAACAAGAAAAATAGTTCTCTACCTATGTTACACAAAGGAATGGAGACTCCTCCTTTGGGGAACATAAGATTATTTTAACCTGTGATTTATAAAGTATGCACTCAACTATGTGCCTTAAACATTGTACTACATGGGATAGAGAAGTAATTACGTAATGAGTATACAGCTGCTCAAGTAAACCTGAATACAACAAGGAACCATACACGATCTTCAGAACATATTTTCTGTGAGTGTACAGGCACAGATTCAATTTTTTTTAGATATGAGAGAAAAATGGGAAGAGTACTGATAATTCTGTGGATTTTTGTACTTACAGAAAATCCTACTACAATTTCCCTGAGCTGCAATTTGCCTTTGTGCACTCTGATGTTAATAAAGAAGGAAGATTATTAAGAATATCATAAAGAAATCCTAAGGATATAACCCACACTAAGAGGGCAAGTGATCTTCATTTACCAATCCTTGAGAGAAAAGAAAACAAAATAAACCGATTCTTCTCACTGGTGAATCTTAAAAGAAAGGCCAAATGGGATTGACTGTTGAGCCAATATTCGTTAGGCAGTAATGACAATGGTGCTGTATTATATTAAAAATGTAATCACATTTTTAAAAAAGATCTTACACCTCATAACTCATCAGAAATGGGGTAGGTATTAAAGTGAAGGAGGAGGGTTGAACTTTAGCAAATGTCATCTGGTCATTCATTTGCCTAATATTTACTGAGCATTTTCTATTTGCCAGGGTCTCTGCCAGAAGCGGGAGACATAATGATTGAGTCTCTGTTTTCGTGAAACTTCTGTGGCATTGAGAAAATGACGGTAATGAAATAATCACCACTTGCCCATAAGATTACAAAGTTAGAGACTGAAAGCCTTAAAAAGAATGTACCTTTCTGTGTGTTTCCCTAATGTATAACAAACCAGTTTACATAGCCAGAGGAGGCCTTCTTGACAAAGTGGGATTTTCCTGCTTCTCCATACAGGGCCAGCTCCTATAATGCAAAGGGAGGAGTAGAGGAACATGTGCAAAGATCCTGGGGTGGAACTGAGAGCCACACAACTCTGCTTACAAATTAGCTATTCATCCATCCAGATCCAGACTGAATCTATCTGTTTTCCTTTAGTACTCCAAACTGCCAAGCAAATATATTTGATCTCCTATTCTCAAAATAGCCCAAACCAGAACAAGCTCTTATTTATTATTATTATTATTATTATTATTATTATTATTATTATTATTATTATTATTTTTAATTTCTTGACTTTTGGTGTGTATGTGTGCATGTGCTGTGGTGTGTGTGTGTGTGTGTGTGTGTGTGTGTGTGTGTGTGTGTGTGCATAGTGTACTCATAGCTTTGAAATATTTCCAGGCTAATGCTATTTCACATTTGTGTTCAATTGACATAAGTTCCACTTGATATGAAAACCTTGTCTCTCATGAACTTCTCAGACCCCTTAGTAGGGGGCAGCGCTACACTGACAAAGATGAGATCTGACACAGGCTTAGAAAATAAATGATTTCACAAAAGAATGTAGGAGCCATGGAGCTGCCTATCTACTCTTATGTCAAATTTGAAGCTATGAATGTTAACTTTTCTTGTAATGACAAAGTCGTAAGAAAGATAACTTGACATAAATGCTTTTTAAGCAAATTCAAACACTGGACTCTAGAGGGCAAGTTTATATTCTGGCAATTTGTTCCAAGGAAATCATCAAAGCAAATGGTATGTGAGTGTGGATTATTTCACACAGAAAGACACACAAAACAAGAGTCTTGAAATCTTGATGAGAATGTGAATATTACTTGTGCAAACTATGAACTGAGTTGTCATAAAAGTGGAGAGCAGTTTATAAAGTTATAGTGAAGCTAAAAAATGTTAATTTATCTTCCTTGTTAATAATTGATTATGAGGATATGATAAGCCTTCTTTTCTCTCCTATACCTTGTTGCCTTTCCCCTTTCTTGTTAACAAGACAATTTTTGCTCAAATTGGTAAAGAAAAAATACCCCAGAAGATTAGTACATAGTTCTCCTCTGTCTGTCCATGGAGGCTGTATTCTTATTGATTTGGGAATGTGTGCAAAAATGTTCTTGTTTTCTAACCATTGCTGCCTCTCTCATGTTGACTTTAATAAACAAGTCAATATTTTACTATTTAGGTATCTCCACACAAACAGTTATCTCATGGGATAATAGACTTTAAATTCCCAAATGTTCCTTGGGAAGGTTACTAGAGTGTTGTATTTCTTTATTTACTTAGGAGGAAACGCAATTTTGCTATATTCATGTAAGATCTAGTGATGGTGAACCCATTATCTTTCCAGTAGGAAACCCTGTCAGTGCTTTTGGTAGGAAGAAAACTTACTTGGACAGGAGGTGAGGAGACAAAAGAATTTTTGTGTGCTTCTTCCCATATGTATTATAGCTGGAATCTGCAAGTATACATCAATACTGTGAGATAATTCTGATTTCACTAGTTTTTAAGGATCAGGAGAGATGACTTAGCAGGTAAACATGATTGATTACAAGCTTGTGATTGGCTACTATCACTAAAGAACCCATAGATTAATACTCTAAAATATGCTTTACAATTTACACCAACCTGGTTGAATAGCCTCTTGATTATGATCCCTACACGAACATAGACCTTGCAAATGTGAGGAAAAGCATAAGCTATTCTAATATCTGCTTTATTGCCACAGCTGTCTTCCATGCAAACACAAAAATGCAGAAGCTATCTAAAGACTTCTTATTTGAAAATCATGTGTTCAAACTTGCTACTAACTGGGTGCACAAACAGAGCATAATATTTAACAACAATAGCTCAGCTAGCTTCTTCATCTGAAAGGAGGGAACTTAAACACCTGTGCTGTTATGATGTGAAGAAAATGAAGTAACATAGGTATACATGGTATTTGGTATGGAGCTAACATACAGTTAAAACTCAGCTGGGGTGAGAACAATACCTGCAGTAGTGCTTAAGCTGCTATTAATTAAATTGCTTTCTCTCGGGCAGATGGTTTAATTTCCATCAATGCAAGAAATGCTGCAGCAGATATACCAATGTATAAATTTGCAGTGACATCATTCCCTCTTTCTTTATGACTAGTTTCTAGCTGTTGAATGGACAGATACAAAGAACCGTTCCTGTAAAGCATCAAAACATGTTGCTGAACAGTGTGTGGGAAAGGTTGCTTCAGTCCATACAACCACATCTAAGAACAATTTCACACACTTCAGTGTGAGTGAGCCTGGCAAGAATTCCACCCCTGATTTATGAATGAATATTCTTTATGGTCTGCTTTCCTTCATTTACAATATTTTAAACAGTAATAAAAAGAAAGGGAAATGGTGCTTGAGGACCACAATGACAGAATTTTCCAACTGTGTTGACCTGTGTTGATTAAGAGGGTGTCTGGGGAAGGGTTAAGAAATACTTCTGGGGTGAGAGGCCTTAGCTGCTAAGAAGAAAAGTCATGAAAAATGCCAAGTATATTTAATTTTCCATAATACATCACCACAGCCATCTGAGAGAATGATAATGCCCTCTTTAAAGGAGAAACAAATACTGACAAAGAGGGATTTGGGGAACAATGATACATATTTCTTATTTTTCAAATAGCTTTTTGCTAATGAGTATATGAGATGCATAAAAATTACCAATTAATACCTGAAACACCTATGTTGAGCAAAATAAGGATCCATGATCTGAAATGAAACATTATCCCAGGTTATAGTCCTGTTACTGTACTTTGTAGGCATGGTGATACTCTCACTCTATCCTTGGTCATAGATGGCTAGACCGATAGGTAAGAAAATTCTTATTATAAAGTGATGTTAGTAATAAAATAAAATCCTATAGTTATATGAAATATTGTTGTAAAAGAACAAATTATGTAATAATGTTTCTAAAATATTCATTATAAGAGAATCTTATTCTTTTTACTTTATTTCTTCATCAATAGCTATTCTTTCCATTTTTGTGGTATGTTCCCTACTATAACACTAGATTCAGGGTTGATTCTTTGTTGATATGGTAAATATTTTTATCTTAATATCACCTTTATGGGAGTGGGGCAATCACTTCAGAAGTAGTGTCCATCACAAAAGTACTTAACTCAACAAAGAACAATACCATGAATTATAGGATCAAATGTCTCAGTGAATACGTACTCCCATGACACATTAAAATTCATCTCTGTAAGGGTGCTACAAAAACAACATTCCTGGAAAAAAAATCACAAGACACTTCAAATTATGTGAAACGTTTGGTTTGCAAGGACAAGTTTCTTTCTTTTTTAATCCCCTGTAAAATTTCCTAGAAACACAATTTATGTCCTAACACGCTTAAGGGCTAGGGTTGTCCCAGGCAACAGCAGCTTTTGTTCAGCATTTCTGGCTTTAGACGGATTCATGGACCGTTTGCAATCAGTGTTGAAATGCAGGCTTCAGTAAAAACTGTGAGAAGCTGAGAAACGTTACATGCATAATTCATAATTCCCTCATCACTGGATGTATGTGTGTTTGAGGATTCAGGGTTACACTGCTAGCCTACTTCATTGAAAGTATGATTTGGATATAGTCAACAATTCTTTTACTAGTGCTTAAAAAATTCCTTGTATTTTCATTAAAATGATTTTTTTTTGTTTTCTCCTGGAAGATGTTTTTAATTTACAATTTTAAACTTACTACTAGTACCTAGAAATCCAGAAATTGGCTTGTACATATGCCTCTAACATGACTGTATTTCCTTTCCGCCCTTTCTGCTTTCAACCACAGTAGCCCTTGACAGGTCCCAGAACACACCCAGCTCCTTTCTGAACCAATACATCTAGACATCCCTGCTATTTCCAGTTTTAATGGGCAAAACAAGATGCCCGATGGCCTCAGTTCATTGGTCTTTGATTTGTTTTGGCCAGGAATTCCTTAAGTGCTTTGCCACATGAGTTTCTACACAAATCACCTACACCTTGAAGAGCAAAGAATGAACATCCACGCCAGGCAGTGGTGGTGCACGCCTTTAATACCAGCACTTGGGAGACAGAGGCAGACAGATCTCTGTGAGTTCAAGGGCTGCCTGGTCTACAAGAGCTAGTTCTGAGCCAGACCCCAAAGCTACAGAGAAACCCAGTCTCAAAAAACAAACAAACAAAGAATGAACACGCAGTCTTCAGTAACTGCACTGGCTAGCATTATGCAAACTTGACAGACAATCTGAATCATCTGAAAGTAGGGAACCTCAACTGACAAAATATAAGATCTTGCTGTAAGACTTTTTCTTAATTAGTGATTGTTGCGAGAGGGCCCAGCCAATTGTGGGTGGTGCCATATCTGGGCTTGTGGTCCTCGATTCTGTAACAATGAGTAAGCCACCACAACTGGTTAAATTCTCTTTGGACAGATACCTTGCTTAACCTAGATATAGGTGGGAGGATTTTAGTTTTGCCTCAAAGTAAAATGTCAGATTTTATTGATTCCCCATTGAAAACCTTACCCTTTCTGATGAGTAGATGGGTGCTATAAAGATTTGTATCGGTATAGATCTTGTTTGCTATATGTATATTTTTGCTCTTGATTAAGGTATTGTGATTGTGCAACTCATTTAAAAATGCAATGTATAATTAAGAAATATAGGTAAATGGAGAGTCATCTATAGTAGCCAAGCTTGTAGTCATGTTAATTGGGTTTTCTAGATGTTCAGAGATGTATTTCAGATGGATAGGCATTCTTCAAATCTTTCCAAGACTACAGAATATGGCACTTAAAATGTTTTAAGAACTTAGGACTTTTCATGACAATGAAATACATCTGCTCCTGGCAGCACCAATTGCTTCAAAAGGAAAATGGGCATCGGAGAGGCTCCTTATGGAGTTGGTGAGCT